CAACGGAGTCACTCCGGAGTACATAAAGGACCGAGCCGGGAGACTCGCGCTTTGTCGATTCCAACGAGAGACGGAGGTGAGTCAGAGCGGCTTTGGGGTGTCCCGGTTCGGAACGGGTGTGTTTGGACCCCTCCTCCCTCTAAGCTGTGTTCCCTCTAAGCTTTGGAGTCTTGTGAGCAAAAAGTCTACATTGTGAGCTACTGGCATTAAAGCTGTGAGCGAGCGATTGGGCTGCTGCATAAATTAGTTTGCTCTGGAGCCAATCTCCCTGAGCTAAGACAAAAATGGGTGAGCCGAAGGCTAAAAAACTGTGAGCTGGCTCACAGTAACTCAGCGTAGAGGGAACCCTGCTGTGGAGTCTTGCAAGCAAAAGGTCTACTTTGTGAGCGACTGTCTGGTATTAAAGCCGTGAGCGAGCAAGTGGGCTACTGCATCAGTTCGTTTGCTCTGGAGCCGCCCTTTCCTGAACTAGGGCAAAAATGGGTGAGCCAGAGGCTAAAAACCGGTGAGCTAGCTCACCCTAACCCAGCTTAGAGGGAACACTGGGTTGGCGGTAAGAGCCACTCATCCTAAAAAACATCTAAGTCTCTTTAGGGCTTAGTCTCTTTTTTGTTTGGGGGGGGGGTGTTATATGAAGGCGTGGGCTGCAGCGGCTCAAGTGGTTAAGACGCTGAGCTGCAGACTGGAAGGTCGATAATTCAGCAGTTCGAGACCCGAGTGGGCCGCATGACGGAGTGAGCTCCCGTCCCTGCTCCCAGTTTCTGCTAACCTAGCAGTTCGAAAGCAAGAAATTGCAAGTAGATAAATAGGTACCGCTTCGGTGGGAAGGGAACAGCGTTCCGTGCGCCTTGGTGTCTAGTCATGCCGGCCACATGACCACGGAAACGTCTTCGGACAGCGCTGGCTCTTCGGCTTTGAAACGGAGATGAGCACCACATCCCTAGAGTCAGATTCGATTGGGTTTTGAGGAAGGGAAACCTTTATCTATATGAAGGTGGAGGGATAAATGTTAATTCAGATACCTTTTTTCCGATGCATCTCATTCGCCTCGATTAGAATGTGCTTGCTTCTGAAAAAACAAAAGAGAAAGGGACACGTGGTTTGTCCAATGGCTGTTTTGCCGCGAGAGGACTGGATAGGCCTCCAATAATAAGAGCAGTCTATCCCATAGGTCAGCAGTTCAGCAGTTCAAGACCCGTTGCCGCATGACGGAGTGAGCTCCTGTCTCTAGTTCCAGCTCCTGCCAACCTAGCAGTTCAACCTAGCCGAAGAGCCAGCGCTGTCTGAAGACGTTTCCGTGGTCATGTGGCCAGCATGACTAAACACCGGAACGCTGTTTTCTTCCCACCGAAGTGGTACCTATTTATCTACTTGCAATTTCTTGCTTTCGAACTGCTAGGTTGGCTGGAGAGGATCAGGGAGACCTGTGTTCAATTGTCCCCCCCCCATTTTTGGCTAAGGAATGGAGGCCCTGGCCCAGTTATCTTTTGCTTGGCCTAACCTTCCTTGCACGGTTGTTGTGTGGGCAAGCAGAAAAGCTACTATCATCAGTTTGGTGTAGTAGTTAGGAGCACAGACTCTAATCTGGGAGAACCGGGTTTGATTCCCCACTCCTCCACAGGCAGCTGCTGGTGTCACCTTGGGTCAGTCTCAAGTTCTCTCAGCTGTTCTCTCAAGGGCAGTTCTCTCAAGGGCAGTTGTCAAGAGAGCTCTCTCAGCGTGTCTGTTGTGGGAAGGGGAAGGGTTTGTAAGCCGCTCTGAGACTCTTTCCGGTAGTGAAGGGCGGGGTATAAATCCAATCTCCTCCTCCTCCTGATAAAAATCAGACAGGGAGTTGGATTGCGTCTGCTTAAATTATTTTTTAATTATTATTTTATTAGTCTTTTAGCTCTCCCTCCCCTGCCTACAGGCTAAGGGCGGGTTACAGACATATACCAATTTAAAACATAGTACTGTAAAATCGGTACCTCATTTTACACCACGCATAATCCACTGTCGATGGCACCAGTAGTAGTCTAGGGCTGTCTGTGTGCGTACAGCAGAAGTAACTAATCTGAGAAGGGGGCAGGCAGATGAGATTAATGCCAGATGGAATGATGCAAGCAAAAGCAAACCAGGGCAGGGGGGAGGCCAGTACAGTCTAGGTACCCATGGTGCTGCCTCAGCCATAAGCCTACACAAGCGGGGCTATTTTTGGGCAGGAACGCACAGGAACGGAGTTCCGGCTGGCTCCTGAGTTGGCCACGCCCAGCAGGAACTCATTAGCATAATAGGCCACACCCAACAGCAGAAACTCATTAGGATTGGCTACATTAGGGGTGTGTGGCCTAACATGCAAAGGAGTTCCTGCTACAAAAAGGGTCCTGGTGGGAGCTGGTCCATGGGGTCGCGAAGAGTCGGACTCGACTGTGCGACTGAACAACAACAACAACATTAGGGGTGTGTGGCCTAACATGCAAAGGAGTCCCTACTACAAAAAAAGTCCCTGGGTTTTGACAACAAACAAGGTCAACAGAATAAGAAGCAAAAGATGGGCGTGGCTGGATGAGCACACTTCTGGTAACATGGGGGGGTCGCCTAATGTGCTAATGAGCGGTGCTGTCAGGGTGTGGCCTAATATGCTAATGAGTTTTGCTGTTGGGTGTGGCCTATTATGCTAATGAGTTCCTGCTGGCCTTTTTCTACAAAAAGAGCCCTGTAAAACACAAGTATACACTTCAAGTGTCCCTATTTTTCAGCAGTGGTCCTATTCTAATATGTCTCTAGAAAGCAGCTGTCTCTGTTGGGGGGGGGAACGCCTGTTTCAAATGGTGTTAATAGGAATTGCTGGCTTGTGTTTTTGAGTTTCAGCTCCTGTTTCCTGATCTCCAAAAGTTGATTTTCTATAAGTGGGGTGTGTGTGTGATGGCTGCTGGTGTCTCATGCGCACCCACGTGTGGAAGAAAATTTCCTGATCTCCAAAAGGTGGTTTTCTATAAGTGGGGGGGGGGGGTGTGACGGCGGCTTGTGTCTCATGCGCACCCACGTGTGGAAGTGTGCATTGGTGTTCTGCCTGCTGCTCCACGCACTGAGTGCAGTTGAAGGTTACACTAGAGAAGCGAAACGAGCCAAAGGACAGGACCCCGCCTTGGTGTGGTTTCCCCCCCCTCCAGTTTTCACCTTGAAAAATCGTGCAATGCCTTTTCTCCCCCCCCTCCAAGAGGAAGCAAATTGCACAATATAATGAACAAGCTTTGAAGTTCTTCAGAATTCTTAATTAGGCCTGAGGTTGTAAAAACAAAAAGGGGTGGGGAGAGAGAGAGTTGGGGCCTGGCTTCAAGGCAGTGTTGCCAACCTCCAGGGGATGTCTGGGGATCTCCCAGAGTTACAACTGCTTTTTAGACAACAGATCAGTCCCCCTGGAGAAAATGGCTGCTTTAGAGGGTGGACTCTATGGCATTACACCCTGCTGAGGTCCCTTCCTGGGCTCCACCCCCCCCAAATCTCCAGGAACTTCCCAACCCACAGCTGGCCACCCTGCTTCCCTTGAGAGCCAGTTTGGTGTAGTGGTTAGGAGCGCGGACGCTAATCTGGGAGAACCGGGTTTGATTCCCAACTCTTCCACATGCAGCTGCTGGTGTGACCTTGGGTCAGTCACAAGTTCTCTCAGAGCTGTTCTCTCCAGGGCAGTTCTCGGGAGAGCTCTCTCAGCCCCACCTGCCTCACAGGCAATGCTCCCTCTAAGGTGTGGAGTCTTGTGAGCAAAATTTCGACTTTGAGAACTTACTGGCATTAAAGTTGCGAGTGAGCGATTTGGCTACTGCATCAATTCGTTTGCTCTGGAGCCCTCCTTCCTGAGCTAAGAGAAAAAAAATGGGTGAGCCAGAGGCTAAAAAATGGTGAGTTAGCTCACACTAACTCAGCTTAGAGGGAACACTGCTCCGAGGGTATCTGTTGTGGGGAGGGGAAGGGAAAGGAGAGTGTAAGCCGCTCTGAGACTCCTTCAGTTAGTGAAGGGCAGGGTATAAATCCAATGTCTTCTTCTTTTTCAAGGCTTTGTTGTAGAAGTCTCCTGTGTAGGATGCTGAGCAGGTATACAGATTTTTGCAGCTGTTCTCGATTTGCTGCCTTGGATGGAACAAAACGTCTCCTTTAGGGCTTTTCCCTAATGTGCTTCTCAGAATGAGAATAGGGGTTGTGCTTGGAACGCCCTAACTTCGCCCGTGCAGCATTGCTGAGAATGAGCCAGCTAGAATGTGCATCTCAGTGTAATGATGTGACAACTCTTCTCCCTTTATGAGTCAGCCCTTGCTCTCCAAAAAAAAAAAAAGACACCCCAAAGCCATATTGAAATTATAACCTCGTTGCTACAGCCTCTTGTGGCTTGCCCCAGGGAAGCGTGCCAGCCAGGGTTCTCTCTAAGCTGAGTTAGTGTGAGCCAGCTCACAGGTGTTTACCCTCCGGCTCACACCTTTTTTTGCCTTAGCTCAGGAAGGAGGGCTCCAGAGCAGACTGATTTGTGCAGCAGCCAAATCGCTCACTCACCACTTACTGCCAGCAGCTCGCAACGTGGAATTTTTGCTCCTAAGACTCCACAGCTCAGAGGGAGCATTGGTGTCAGCTGGCCTTCAGTGCGCGTTCTGCTGTGGAGCCCCACCCCTTTCCAAAAGCAACCCTTCCCGGGGGGGAAAGGGGGAAATCCCAATGAATCAGTACCCACCATGCAAAGCTATGGAAACTGGTGGTGGAAGGCGCCCTCAAGTCGCAGCCAGAGATGTCAAAGCAAGAGATGTTCAGAGGCAGTTTGCCATGGCCTGCCTCTGCATAGCGACTCTGAACTTCTTTGGAGGTCTCCCATCCACATCCTGACCAGGGCCGACCCTGCTTAGCTTCCAAGATAGCAGAGATAGAGAGCCAGTGCAGCGTATTGGTTAAGAGCAGTGGATTCTAATCTGGAGAACCGAGTTCAATTCCATACTCTTCCACATGAAGCCAGTTGGGGGACTGTGGGTCAGTCACAGCTCTCTCCGAGCTTTCTCGGCACCAAAAAATGTCTCGCTCACCATCTAGTGGTGTATAATGCGAAAAAGAGCTAGT